AAAACAAATGTGATCTCACTTTGACTGTTTAATGACCTCTGCACCAGTTTGCTGGTGAAACATATCGATAAACTACACCTACTAAAAATGGATGAGGAAGAATATTTACAAGATTCAGGAAGATTAATTTTAACAATGCAAGGCGAGGCAAGTTTATTCATTCAGCACATTTCATTCACAATTCTGATTCAAAGTGCTTTACATAAGCACGGAGATTAAAATAATAATAAAAGATTCACACAATACATGTAATTATAATAAATAAGAAACCAAAAACAATTAAAAGACGATTAATAATGCATTATAACAGTTTTAAATATTAATTTAGAGTGATCTGCTAGGTTTGTATTCAGTGAGCATATCTGTAATGTGTTTAGCTCCCAGACCATTTAGTAATTTATAAACTAATACTACTTAAAAAATCTATTTTGAATGTAACTGAAATCCAGCCTAACAAACAGAGGACAGATGTAATGTTCTTTGATTTTCTGGTTCTGTTAAGAATTCTGCCAGCAGCGTTCTGGATGAGCTGCAACTGTCTTATTGACTTTTTAGGAAGGCCAATGAGGAGTCCATTGCAGTAATCCACCCTGCTGGTGATAAAAGCATAAACATGTCTTCCCTCTGGAAACAAAGTATCTAATACATGCAATGTTTTTGAGATGATTGTATGTTGATTTAGCTACTTCTTTCATGTGACCTCTGAAACATCAATCTCAACAGGATTCTTGACTTAATTTTTACTTTTTTTTTTAAGGTAAGGTACACATTCACTTTGAATGTTTCATCTTTGGTATCAAATGCAATGATTTTAACTAAAGAAAGTTTTGACAAAGCTATTAATTTCATTATTGCACTGGAAAAGGGTGGATCTCACAAAATTGAACAGTAAGAAACTTGTGAGAGGACAAATGGTGACGATTTGTTTGAATGGTTCACTAAAAAGAATTAGTTAAAAATGATTTATTCATGAACAAGCAAAACGATTGTTGTGATGCAACCCAGGCTTATTATTGATACGTAACCCTGTATACATTTCTGGACAGTGCAAAATACATCCCAGAAGGGACGTTTCATGAATCCACCAGAGGCTACTGTGTATGTTTTTTCAGATCTCAAATTTGTGAGATCTGAAATGTGCCATTTGTGCCTGCCCTTCTTGCGTAAATCCACCAGAGGTCGCTGTTGACTGACTGACCAACCAACCACTTCACCTACGCCCTTCTCAAAACCCAACTGATACTGTATTCAAAAGCACAGATTGACTTGCCCACCCACTTCCCTAAACCCAACCGACAGCGTTTTCAAAAGCAATCCTGAAAATGAAAAGCCATTGTGGCAGCCTGATTTTTTTCCAGATCAGTTTTCAGATCTTACCACATTCTCACCCCGTTATTTACTTGTGTATTTTACATTTTTTTTTTTGGCCTTTTGTTTTTGTTTTTCCTGCTGCTTTCTGGAACCGTTCTTCTCCAGACTCTAACCATGCCATCGCTGTTAACTTCTTTCTGTGTCTCAATTCTGACCGACGTACACGATGAGCCACTGGGCAAACTGGTAACAGCGGAAAAGCCGTTCACACGGGGGAAAGCGTGGAGCTTATAGTGCAAAAAGAAACGTAAGCTGTTGGCAGCGTCATACTGACGTAACCATTTGTTTTGTCGACAAAAATCTGCCGTACATACCTCTGACTACAGTATTCGTACTTTCCAGAAATGTTTACAGGGGTACGTTTTTACAATGAGCCTGTGTTGCATGTATTGATTAAACAATTACTGTATTTTTTAAATAAATCGGGAAAATAACATTTACTGTAAATGATCATTTTGCAACCATTTCTGTTTATATGTTACAAACTACAATTCAACTTGGGTATTGCACTTTCAGTTTAATGTCAGAATTTATAGAGGAATTTACATATTAAAACTATGGTGGGAAAAAAAAAAAAATTGCTAATATATCATGAAGAATGTGAATTTAAAATAAAGAAACACATTGCGATTTTACATGTTGAATTGTTGTTCCCGTTATTCCAGTGTTACATGTGCTCTTCGTCTCCTTGGATTAAAATAAGTTTGTTGTGTGTCTGCAACAAGCTTCCATTTTCGCTACAAACTTTCGCTCTGAACTTATCGAAAACCTGCATGGATGACTTTGTAAATAAATACCTGTTATTATACTTACTTTCTGTGTCCAGTCCTCAGTGCATCGTGACAGAAGGACTGAGTGGAAACAGACATTGGGATAGATCCCGGCCACATGACACCCTCACCTCTGGATACCCTCACCGAACTGGTCAATGCATTCATGGCTTCACTTCACCACTCCGCTCCCCCTCCAGCGACTGTCTCTGCCTCAGGCAGTCCCATGGCTCTTCCACAAAGTTACTCTGGTGAAGCGGCTAAGTGTAGTGGTGTCCTACTCCCAAGTGAACCTGTACATCGAGATGCATCCGGGTCAATTCTCCACCAAACGCTCTAATGTAGCTTTTCTCATATCACTTTAAACTGGAAGAGCACTACTATGGGCTAGAGCTATATATAATTCTAACAGTATCATAATCAACTCATATGCAGTTTATGTCCCATAATTCAGTAGTTTTTAGCTTAGCTTCCAGAGCTCTTTCAACATCTGACCAGCTCTCTATCTCCGAATACACTCTCCAGTTCCGTACTTTGGAATGAAACACAGGAACACTGGGACTGGAGAAACACTGGAGACAATCTAGGAGACACTGAAGCTGGAGAAACGCTGGGTAGACACACTGGGATGCTGGAGAAGGAGGGGGTGAACACACAGGGTGTGAGTTTCAGGACTGACACTGGATGACTAAAGGTGAGTGGTCTAAATAGTGTGTATCTGTGGGCAGGTGATCAGTTTTTCAGGTGAAGTGATGTCCAGGGCTAAATGGCTTCAGGTGAGGGTGATTGGTAGAGAAGAGAACCAGAATGGACTGTGACAGTAAGTCTATTGAGCAGGCATGTCCAAACTCGGTCCTGGAGGGCCAGTGTCCTGCAAAGTTTAGTTCAAACCCCAATTAGACCCACCTGGGCTACAAGGCTTCCAAGAAACATCCTCACAAGTGTGTTGAGGCTAGTTGGAGCTAAAATCTGCAGAACACCGGCCCTCGAGGACTGAGTTTGGACACCCCTGCCATAGAGTGAGCTATATTTATGAAAGGCATAATTTTCTATCAGCATTTCAAAACAATAATAATGGCATAACACAGATTTCATTACTCAAATCACATGATTTTGAAAGTTTGATTCACGCTCTGGATCACTGTAAAGCTTTCTAAGCTTCATGAAGCAGTGTCTTGAAAGCAGCCATCCCTAGGTGTTAGCTGTATCTCCTGTTGGATTATCTTCTCTGTATTATTGATTAAACTTTAAGCTGCAAAAGATCCTCATCTTCTTTTCCTTGCCTCACTCACCATGACAGAATTACTGTTGTTATTATCATCAAAAAAGCATTTGCTCCAACAATTCACATTGAATACTTTCACATGCTGTTATAAAAGAAAATGGTATTCTCCATATATCCTTTAAAACCAACAACTATATGGTCGACCAGCCTGGTTTTAGAGGGGTTTTGGCCATTTTCAGGCTGGTTTCCAACCATTTCCAGCCTGGTCTTAGCTGGTCATTTTCCAGCCTGGTCCAGCTAAAACCAGCTTGACCAGCCTGGTTTAAACTGGACATAACTGGTTTTGGCTGGACTCCCAGCCTGGCTTGGCTGACCAAGCTGGTTTTTGCTGGTCATTTCCCAGCCAGACCAGCTAAGACCAGGCTGGAAATGGCTGGAAACCAGCCTGCAAATGGCAAAAACCCCTCTAAAGCCAGGCTGTCACGGTTGTGGATCCATCTGCTCCTTATTTGAAGTGTCTGCGTTGTGTGACAGTTCAGTATCATGATGCGTGTTTAAGTATGTGTGCTTTTTCTCTCTGTGTTTGTGTGGGTGTCGCGTGGCTGTCAGTGGGTGTTTGTTTTCATGTCATCAGCTGAGCGGTCACATGATCTTTTGTTACCGGAACTGTTGCGTAGCGCGCTCGGCTGATAATCAGCGCGCTACAGGTGTAGCGCATTTTATGTGCCTATAAATGATCAGCGTTCCTGTCTCACTTTGTCAGTTCGTTGTTTGTTCACGGTGTTCTGTGTTTTTGTCAGGCTCCTCCCGTTGAGATCGCTGGTGGTGAGTGGTTTGGTTGATTCCTTGTTGCTGTCTCTGATGAGCCCTCTTCCTGCTACGCTGAGTGTTTTATCTGCTCTGTTGATGACTTCATCGGAGACATTGCTGTTTCTCTACGACGAATGTTTGATCTACTCTGTTGATGAGTTTATGAACATTTATCCGGCGTTGCCGAGACGGACCATCTCTTTAATTACTACTACAGTTTCCTCACTTCCAACCACTCACCATTTTCCCTGTTTTGCTTAGTCAAGCAATAAAGATTTTTTTTACTTGCATTTGGGTTCCACGTCTTGTTTACTGTCACAGAACGAACTGACCAAACATGGACCCAGCAAGTGCGGCGGAGATACAGGATGTGCTGTCACGCAGTGTCGCCCGGATGGACCACCAGGAGCAACAAATGAAGGTGACCAGTCAGGCTATACAAGCACTGGTAAATCAGGTGTCCGAGCTGACAACACAAGTCCAGAGACTCAGTTCAGGTCTCAGCGCCGGTTCCACTCTACCGGCTCCCTCCGTTGAACCACCAGTCACTCCGGTTGTCAATGAGATTCCCCGAACCGCCGAACCGCGACTGCCTCCACCACAGTCCTATGCAGGTGAACCCCAACTTTGCAGAGCGTTTATCGCCAAGTGTTCTCTATACATCTCACTACAACCATCGTCTTTTCCCACCGAGGAGAGCAAGGTGGCGTTTTTAATCAACCTTTTGACTGGCAAGGCGGCTTTATGGGGAACCACGGCGTGGGAGAAGAAACTGCCCTGCTGTCAAACTTTCAAGTCCTTTACAGAGGAGCTCAAGGTCACAGACCTGTTTTCCAGAGGCTTCACCCCCCGATCCGGAACCCGAGCCCATGCAGGTGGGAAGGTTCCGCCTCTCATCGGAGGAGAGACGACGCCGTCGAACGGGGGGCTTGTGCATGTACTGCGGGGTTGCTGGTCATTATGCGGCTTTATGTCCGGCCAAGAACAATAAATCATCCGCTGGTAAGAGTCTTTTGGTGGGTGAGGTCATGACAGGGAAGGACTCTCCCGATTCCACTTTCCTACCCATTAAATTGGAATTCAATTCGAACTTGCATCCCTGTCATGCGCTCATTGATTCAGGAGCGGAGGGGAGTTTTATTGACTCTGATTTAGCTAAGAAGTTAAAAATTCCCTGTTTTCCCCTTTCTTCACCCATAGCTGTTCACGCACTTAGCGGTCTACCTCTCCCAACTATTACACATATTACAGCTCCTATTAGGCTCATTACTTCAGGAAACCACACTGAGACTATTACTTTCTTTCTAACTAACACTGTCAAAAATCCTGTTATTCTGGGACACCCGTGGTTGGTGTTACACAAGCCTCACATTAATTGGGGTCACAACACAGTTTTTTCCTGGAGTGAGAGCTGTCATAAGTCTTGTTTATTGTCTGCCTGTTCCACTGTGTCTTGTTCTGTGTTTCAGGAGGAGCAGGTGGATCTGTCAAACGTGCCTCGTGAGTACCACGACCTGAAGAGAGTGTTCAGTAAGTCCCGGGCTGCTTCTCTACCTCCTCATCGTCCCTATGACTGTGCTATAGACTTATTGCCAGGTACGTCTCCGCCTAAAGGCAAGTTGTATTCGCTGTCTGTTCCAGAGAGGGAGGCCATGGAGAAATATATTTCTGATTCTCTAGCAGCCAAGATCATCCGCCCGTCTTCTTCACCGGCGGGGGCGGGATTTTTTTTTGTGAAAAAGAAGGATGGTTCCCTTCGTCCGTGCATAGACTATCGAGGGCTGAACAGCATCACGGTTAAGAATACTTACCCTTTGCCGTTGATGTCTTCAGCCTTCGAGCGCCTGCAGGGGGCGAACTTTTTCACAAAATTAGATCTTCGCAATGCTTATCATTTGGTTCGCATAAGACCCGGGGATGAGTGGAAAACCGCGTTTAACACCCCTAGAGGGCATTTTGAGTACTGCGTTCTGCCCTTCGGCCTTTCCAACGCTCCAGCTGTTTTCCAGGCACTCGTCAATGATGTGTTGAGAGACATGATAGATCAGTTTATTTATGTCTACCTGGATGACATTCTGATTTTTTCTCACTCTCTCCAGGAACATATTCAACATGTCAGGCGAGTGTTGCAGAGGTTGCTAGAGAATGGGCTTTATGTCAAGGCGGAGAAATGCGTTTTTCATGCACAGTCGGTTCAGTTCTTGGGACATATCGTGTCAGTCGAGGGGATGCGTATGGATCCAGAGAAGATTCAGGCTGTGGTAGATTGGCCAACCCCAGATTCCCGTAAGGCCCTGCAGAGGTTTCTGGGATTTGCCAATTTTTACCGGCGTTTTATTCACAATTTCAGCCAGCTCGCCGCGCCTCTGACTTCCTTGACCTCCTCCAAGACGCCGTTCAGGTGGACCAGCGCAGCCGAAGCTGCCTTTTCCAAACTAAAGAGCTGCTTCGTTTCAGCTCCGATACTCATTGCCCCTGATCCTTCCCGGCAGTTTGTGGTGGAGGTCGATGCGTCGGAGGTGGGGGTCGGCGCCATTCTGTCCCAGCGCTCCGCCTCGGATGGCAAGGTCCATCCTTGCGCGTATTTTTCTCATCGATTATCTCCTGCTGAAAGAAACTACGACATTGGTAATCGAGAGTTGTTGGCCGTCAAGCTTGCTTTGGAGGAGTGGCGTCACTGGTTAGAAGGCTCGGGGGTGCCTTTTATCGTCTGGACCGATCATAAAAATCTTGAATATATTAGATCCGCTAAAAGATTGAACTCCAGGCAGGCTCGGTGGGCATTATTTTTCGGACGGTTTAATTTTACCATCTCGTATAGACCAGGTTCCAAGAACATCAAACCTGATGCGTTGTCACGTCTTTTTGATCCTTCGGATCACAAGTCATCTCCTGATCCTGTGCTCCCTCAGAACATCATCATAGCGAACATTTCCTGGGAGATTGAGTCGAGGGTCCGTGCAGCCCTGGATGGGGTAACGCCCCCGATCGGATGCCCACCGAGTTGTTTGTTCGTGCCAGAGGGATTACGGTCCGACGTTGTCCGGTGGGGTCATTCCTCCAAGGTAGCTTGTCACCCAGGGGTGAGTCGCACATTATTTGTTATCAAACAACGATTTTGGTGGCCAGCTATGGCTCGTGATGTGCGCGATTTTGTTTTGGCTTGCTCTGTCTGTGCAGTTTCCAAGTCTTCCAATCGTCCCCCTGCTGGACTCCTCCAACCGCTGTCAGTGCCTTCGAGACCCTGGTCACACATCTCGCTAGATTTTGTTACGGGTCTTCCATCCTCTAACGGTAACACGGTAGTTTTAACCGTGGTGGACAGGTTCTCGAAGGCTGCTCATTTTATTTCTCTGCCCAAATTACCATCAGCCAGAGAGACAGCGGTTGCTGTCATTGACCATGTTTTTCGCATACATGGCCTCCCGAGGGATGTGGTCTCTGACAGGGGCCCACAGTTCGTCTCTAAATTCTGGAGAGAATTCTGTCGTTTATTGGGGGCCACTGTTAGTCTTTCTTCTGGTTTTCATCCCCAGAGTAACGGCCAGACTGAGAGAGCCAATCAAGATCTTGAGCGTACATTGCGATGTTTGGTCTCACAGAATCCTTCCTCCTGGAGCCAACAACTTTCGTGGGTGGAGTACGCACATAATTCGTTACCAGTGTCTGCCACGGGCCTTTCTCCGTTTCAGTGTAGTCTAGGTTACCAGCCACCAGTTTTTCCCAGTCTGGAATCCGAAGTTGCGGTTCCCTCCGTTCACGCCTTTGTCCAGAGGTGCCGCCGCACTTGGAATAGGGCCAGACAGACCCTCCTCCAAGTGGGGAAGCGCACCAAGGCTAAAGCTGATCGCCACCGGTCTAAGCCTCCCGTTTACGTTGTCGGTCAAAAAGTGTGGCTTTCTACTAAGAACATTCCGCTCCGCACCGTCTGTAATAAGTTAGCTCCTAAATTTATCGGCCCTTTTATTGTCACTAGAATCATTAGTCCTGTGGCAATCCGCCTCAAATTACCTCCAGCGTACAGGAGAATTCATCCCGTGTTCCATGTATCCAAAGTAAAGCCCGTTTTTCATACGGCAATTAATCCGCACACCCCAGTTCCCCCCCCGCCGCGTCTCGTAGATGGGGAGACTGCTTATTCGGTTAAGCGCATTCTGGACTCTAGACGGAGGGGACGAGGATTTCAGTACTTGGTGGACTGGGAAGGTTACGGTCCGGAGGAGAGAAGTTGGGTTCCGGCCGGGGACATACTGGACCACTCTCTTATCGATGATTACAATCGCCAGGTAGGCTCGTCTGGGGACGCCAGGAGGCGTCCCTAGGGGAGAGGGTAATGTCACGGTTGTGGATCCATCTGCTCCTTATTTGAAGTGTCTGCGTTGTGTGACAGTTCAGTATCATGATGCGTGTTTAAGTATGTGTGCTTTTTCTCTCTGTGTTTGTGTGGGTGTCGCGTGGCTGTCAGTGGGTGTTTGTTTTCATGTCATCAGCTGAGCGGTCACATGATCTTTTGTTACCGGAACTGTTGCGTAGCGCGCTCGGCTGACAATCAGCGCGCTACAGGTGTAGCGCATTTTATGTGCCTATAAATGATCAGCGTTCCTGTCTCACTTTGTCAGTTCGTTGTTTGTTCACGGTGTTCTGTGTTTTTGTCAGGCTCCTCCCGTTGAGATCGCTGGTGGTGAGTGGTTTGGTTGATTCCTTGTTGCTGTCTCTGATGAGCCCTCTTCCTGCTACGCTGAGTGTTTTATCTGCTCTGTTGATGACTTCATCGGAGACATTGCTGTTTCTCTACGACAAATGTTTGATCTACTCTGTTGATGAGTTTATGAACATTTATCCGGCGTTGCCGAGACGGACCATCTCTTTAATTACTACTACAGTTTCCTCACTTCCAACCACTCACCATTTTCCCTGTTTTGCTTAGTCAAGCAATAAAGATTTTTTTTACTTGCATTTGGGTTCCACGTCTTGTTTACTGTCACACAGGCTGGTCGACCAGCTATAAGCTGGTTTAAGCTGAATTTTTCAGCAGGGATGATACTGTCCACCGGAGTTGCATTTCGGTCACCGATGTATGCTTTCAGAGCCTTTTTGAATGAAAGAAAGAAAGAAAGATTAAAAAAAGAAAGAAAGAAAGAAAGAAAGAAAGAAAAATAGGTGGTTTTCCACCATGCAAACCCGGGGTGCTGAAATATAATTGGCTAAACTGGCATTGGACCGGTTAAAGAACATAAACAAAAAGAGTGTTCCGGCACGGAAACACATATTCAAAGCAGAATATCTGACTTTAGCCTTGTTTTTCAGATAAACAAGAATGTTCACTTGGCATGTTTCTTAAATATCTGTAAACATTTTATGGTATTTTTATTCAAAAATTTACAGCACCTTTAACTTTTTTGAACCATAAAAGTGGATAGTTTTGTTGTCCTTTGCTGTGTCACCCCTATTTTTTGAAAATGTGCAACAAGTCTAATAAATCTTGAAGAAAATCACTTTCGTTCTAGTTTTAGATTATTATAAGTTGTTTTTCCTAATTGTTTGTCACATCAAAGGACGTATTTAAAATTTAGTAAAAATGTTTAAACAGTGAAAGAACTGATAAGTTAGTGAGCCCATTACTTTCTCAATTCATCACACTACACAATTATATCACGTTTTTCTTTACACATATGGTGCTCATTATTCAGGTTCGGTTTTCGTGAATCCACCAGAGGTTGATGTAAATGCTTTTTCAGATCTTAAATTTCTCTTACAAGTGGCATTTGCGCCGCTGTCGACTGACTGACTGTTTTTTTTTTTACCACGTTTTAAGATATTACCACACTCTCAGCCTGTTATTTATTTGATCATTTAAGTTTCTGCCTTTTGTTTTAGTTTTACCTGCTTTCTGGAACCATTCTTCACCAGATTCGAAGCCCATCAGTGCAGTCAACTCCACTCTGCATCTCAAGTCCACCAATGTACACGTGGATCTACTGGGCAAACTAGTAACAGCGAAAAAGCCATCCACATGGATGTAAGCGGGCAGCTGGTAGCGCAAAAAGAGACAGAAGAAACCTCAGATCTGCCCGAATGCTAACCACTTTCATGGGGAGCAACGGGGGTGGCTTGATCTCAGCTGTGCAACAGCCATGACCTCACAGTGAAAGCATGAGCTGTCCGCGAGCACAGCATTGACATGCTGGACCCCCAGACCTGTGATGCCATACCCATGCCCATCATCCGGAGATAGGAACCACCTGTCACGTTCAAATAAATGTTCGGATAGATCCAATAGCGAGTGAACAAAGGAATTTATTAGACACAGTCAAACTCAAAAACAGGTGCAACAAAAGAGTGCGGTGCTAAGGCTAGGGGAACAGGACAGGAATCAAACAGGAAATCAGGCTCTAGCAGAAACTCCTCACGGTCCTGAGCACAGACAGAAAGACACACATGAGCACATGTAACGAACTGACAATGAACATTAAACGCGTAGCACTTATATAGTCACGATGATGAATATCAGCTGGCGAAAAATTAAAACAATACACGTGGGCCACAAAAGCAAAACAAACCCAAATGATAACACAGACATTCCGGAAGAGCGCACAAACCTGCAACCGTGACACCACCACCTCCAGAAATGCAGTGTAATGTCTTGAAAAAGGCTCGTTGATAGACTGTGTTCTCTCTTAGGGAGTCAGCTCTTTTAATGGAAATTGCTCTTTTGTGCACACCAGCAAAACACCCAACAGAAAGGAAAGCTCAGATTGACCACCGATGTCGCGTCTTCCCCCGCACTGGTGAGTAAACTGGTTTCAGTCTTTAAATCTGGTTGGCAGATAGCGTGTCTTCAGTCTCGTGAGAGGTTCTGAAGCTAAATTCTAGATGCACGCTTCTCAGCAAGCACTGATATAGGTGCTAATGACTAATCAGTATCAGCTGTGGAGCTGAGCTCCGCCAATTCATTTGGCATTCATTGCCTTGGTTTCTTACTCTTCAGAGTGGTAGGTCATCTGAAGCATTCCCATATGTCTGGTTCCAGACACACGTTGGAGTTCCCATGATGGGGAACTAATCCTTAAGTGTCCTTTATAATGATTTATAAAATAATAACTATAACATAATATAATAATATGACATAATTAAAAAAATTTTCTTTACTTCTTTATTTCTTTACTTCTTTTTCTTTATTTTATTCTAAAATAATAATATTTAAAAATATGGTCTCAAACATACCAGTCATATAGGTTTATGTGCATTTTTTGTTACTTTTTAATTTACAGTGTTCTTATATTGTTATTATTATTATTAATTAATTCATTCATTCATTCATTTTCTTTTCAGCTTAGTCCCTTTTATTAATCTGGGGTGTTCACCAGACTCGAACCCAATCATCGCTCCTCAACTCCTCTCTGCGCCTCAAGGCCACCAATGTACAGGGTGAGCTACTGGGCAAACTGGTAATGGTGAAAAAGCCGTCTATACAGAGTTGGTCAGCTGGTAGAACGGAAAGAAACAGAAGCTGTCAGCAGCATCATACCGCCCCTGTAGCGTTCATTTTAAAGATGAAATGCAGCCATGTGTAGCTCTGGCTACATAATTCATGCTCCCCAGAAATGTATACGCGGGTACATTTTCACAATGAGCCTGTGTTGTATTTGTCAGTATAACAGTTTATCAGTATAACAGAAGTTACCCCAATAATTCACGCAAAGCATGATGATGGGGTATAAGAAAAGGTGGATATCTAAAAACGTAATCAATTCTGAAAGTACAGTGACAAACAGGTGGAGTAAGGAATTTATGACCTTGTTGTGGCTTTGAAGCTCATGTGTTGTGTGCAACATCTGACTCTTTAATCTTTTGCTCCACCTGCACCGCGAAGGCTTGCCAAGACAAACCGCCACAGATGCCACAACACATCCTGTGACAAGACGTTAGAGGGACAAAGAGGACATGAAGTCTCTTTAAGGCTCATGAAGAATTTTATGTTAAACTCATTGCACTCATTGATGAATCAGGTCTCCATTTGGCATTCAGAATGATGACATTGTATTACAGACAGACTATTCGTCAAAGCTTTGACCTGAATATGTAAAATATCATATTAATGGATGTCCATGCAGTTCAGAACTTGAGAAAGCACTTAATTTTTTGTTACATTTTGTAATGTAAAAGGCTTGGTAACTTTAATCCAATTATACACAAAGAGAGAAGCAGCGTGTGTGTAGTTAATCAGGAATTAGTGCTAATGCTAAAATCCCTACATGCTAAATAATTAAAGCGTGACCCTCTTCTTAAAAGAAAGTCAAAACATTTTGGATCTTATGAGTATTTATTGTTTTAAATAAGCAAAATTACATTTGAACATTTTAGCACTTCAGAAACCAGTCAGTGTGTATTTAATACACAATGATGAGCTAACACATTATGACCAATTACAGAAAAAGCAAGTAATGTTAATCAATAAATGATCAATAAACATTGTGCTTCAGAGTTAATTAAGGTGCTAAAAAGTAAATCTTCATCATAATTGATGAAATTTTTACATTTTATATATAAACAGCCCAGATAGCATATGAATGTAAGCCACTTTAGGCAGTTATGTGGCACTGGTGGTCTTCCTTCGGCCCAGACAAAATAAATGTGAGCCTGAAGTGGCCTACCTGTACAATGGGAAAAGGGGGCCAAAGATTCCAATTCATAAATGGGCCAATTTAGGCAAAGATTTGGCACTTACGGCAAAATGTAATCTGAATGTGAGCCTAATGTGGCCCACTTTTGGCAAATATTTGGCACGGTAAACTCTGACTAACACGACTGTGAGCCTAAAGTGTTTCAGCGAAAATATGGCAAATGTGGCCCAGTTATTTTATAATATAAGTGGGCCACTTTTGGCAAATATTCAGCACAGTAAGCTCTGGGTAATGTGGATTTCAGCCTATAGTGGTCTAGAGAAGATATGGCAAATGTGGCCCAGTTATCCTACAACAAATGTGAGGAACTTTTGGCAAATATTTGGCACAGTAAGCTCTGACTAATGTGGATTTGAGCCTAAAGTGGCCCAGAGAAGATATGACAATTGAGGCCCATTTGTCTTAAAACATATGTGGGCCACTTTTGGCAAATATTTGGCAAAGTAAGCTCAGGCTAATGTGGCTGTGAGCCTATAGTGGCCCAGATGAGATATGGCAAAATATGGGCGAGTGTCACTGGCTGAAGATGGTGTGAGCTCAAAGCAGCTGTGGTAAGATGTAGCAAGTATGATGCTGTTATCCTAAAACATATGATCACTTTTGTCAGGTCACTTTTGGTAAAGATTAAGCAGAGTGATCATTTGAAAATTATAAGGGTCAAACTATATCTCTTTGACATGGCAGGTATGGGTAGTACAGCTAATTTGTTGCCCAGATCTGGCAAACAGGAACGAACCGCCCTAGAGCCATCAATCCATTCAGTATGTGGCCCGGATGCAAGTGTCTGGTGTAGGTCAAAATAAAAGCAAACTGTGGCCCAGAATAGGGTCAGTTCTGGTTCATTTGGTTGAATTCTCGCTGATATGTGGTATTGCTATGGCTTAATTGTCGCCCAGATCTGGCAAACAGGAGCGGACCATCCAAGTGCCATCATTCCATGCAGTATGGGGGCCGGATATAAGTGTCTGGTCGGGGCCGGATGTGAGCCAGATGAATTTTGCTAGCTGAGAGTGGTTTGACAATAAAACTGAAACACTCTCTAGTTTAGTGTTGGAGGTTTCATGACTAATCAGTTCATGGATCTCTCTGTTAATAAGTTGATGATCTGAATTAAGTTTGTAAGTAAGGAAGGCATACAAAATGTGCAAGACAGGGGATCCCAAGAACCAGAATAAAGAACCACTGCTATAGCCAAAACTTTAGCCACTCGTGCCAATGCCCAATTGTTGGTTTATATGGTGCCAGCAGTTAAAATATTTTTTTCCCAAAAAA